ATTGGGCAGAGCCTTTATGTGGCGCGCGAATACTTGCAGTAGATAGGTGCGGAAGGTAAAGATGAAACTTGACATATTGTATCTGATGCTTAATTGAATACCAATGACGTCATATCGTTACCTGATGCCTAATGGCCTTAAGTCGGCCCAAAAAGGCCCGAGAAAACTCATGACCAATGGCGTCACACACCTAGTGGATTACCAGTGACGACATATCGTTAGATGATGCCTTATGGCTTTCACTCGGCCAGCAATAGCCTGTAAAAACTCATGACGACGCACTCAGGTGATTCGGCGGAGCTAATATTAGGCTCGCCAATACTTTAACAGGTGCAAAAGGCAAAGATGGAACATGACATGTTGTGCCTGATGTTAAGTCGAACACCAGTGACATCATATCGTCAGCTGAAGCATTATACCATATAGGGGGTTGAAAAGAGCCCGTAAGAACTCTTAACCAATGACGTGATATAACACGCGAATGCTTGCAGTAGGCAGGTACGAAAGGTAAAGATGGAACATGGCCTGTTGCGCTTGATGTTGAGTCGAATACCAGTGACGTCATATCATCCCGCGATACTTCACAGGATATGATGCTTTGTTGGCATTGAGCTGCCCAAGTGAACCTGTATAAACTCATGACCAGTGACGTCACGCACTCAGATGGTTCGGCATCACCTTGATATAGCACGCAAATGCTTGCAGTAAACAGGTACGAAAGGCAAAGATAGAGCATGGCCTGTTGCGCATGACATCTAGACGAAAACCGGTGACGTCATATGGTCAGCTGATGTGGTGTGGCTTACGGTGGGTTCAAAGCAGTCTGTGTAAATTAATGGTTAGTGACGTTACACACTCAGGTGATTCGGCAGAGCCTTCCTTCAGCATTCAAATGCTTGCAATGGACAGGTACCAAAGGTAAAGATGAAGCATGGCCTGTCCCGCCTGAATTTTATTCGGATACCAGTGACGTCACATCTTCAGTTAATGTCGTATGACCTTTCGTCGGCCCAAAAGAGGCCTTAAATCTGATCACAAGTGACATCACACACAGTCGAATACCAGTGACGTCACATCATTAGGTTATGCTCTACGGCCCTCAGTTGGCCCCCAAAGATCCATAAAAATGCATGACCAGTGACGTCACACACTCACGTGATTTGGTAGCTTTTATTCATCACGCCTGTACTTGCAATAGACAGGTACGAAGGTAAAATGAAGCATGACCAGTTGCGACCAATATTTAGTCGAATATCAGTGACGTCACGATACCCGGTGATATTTCACGGAACATGATACACCGCGGCCGTGGGGCCTAAGTGCACTCGTATCAAGTGATGAGTAGTGACGTCACACATTCAGGTGATTCGGTCAAGCTTTTATTCGGCACGCAAATGCGTGCAGCAGACAGGTACGAAAGGTAAAGATGGAGTAAGGCCTGTTGCGCCTGATGTTTCATTGAATACCAGCGACGACATATCGTCAGGTGATGCTTTACGGCATTCATTGCACCCAAAAGATCCCTAAAGCCTCACAACCAGTGACGTCACATATCCAGTCGAATACCAGTGACATCATATCGCTAGCAAATGCCTTGTAGCCTTCAGTCGGCCCAAAAGAACCCGATCGATGCAAACCCATTTTCAGTGACGTCACTACGTCGGCTGATACCTAACAGCATTTCTCCATCACGGCAGTACAGGAACCCTGCGGCCAGCGTAGCTCTCTCCCCACCGTCGGCAATACAGGTACCCAAGTAAAAAAAAGCCGCCTGTTCGACCATCACCACTCCGTTGTACGCTTTTTCACTTGGTCGAGATTTATTGTCACTGTTGTTGAGGATTTGGATATGTAGATAGGTTCTTAAACACCCAGTTAATTGTTTAGTGGGTGCATTTTTTGGCAGGGACCATTCATAGCATGTAGGGTATACCCTAGCCCAGAGCCTTGTCACCAACTAATCCCAACACACAGTAAGTATCAGCCAGGCCAGATATAGGTTGAATAAGCATGCCACAGAGGTCAACTGTTGATGGACTGTGTATGTCTGAAACTAATAAGCTACACTTTCTACGGATCCTGAGGTCAATAAGGTCAAAGCTGCATATCAACCTTAAGTCTGGTGGGTGTGGTTAAATTTTTCAAGTATGCCTGTATTCCTCATAAAAACATTTGTTTCAGTTTGATTTTTTTAGTGTGAGGTCATAGTGAACAAATACATGGTAGTTTTAACCTTATGGACAAAGTTACATACTTGTGGGCAAGGAAAATTAGGGTCTTGCCCAGTTATCCTCCCTACATGCCAATAAACCAGGTATTGAGCAAAATTCAAAAAATATGTTACAGAATCCAGGTTCAAGGAACCATCATTGGGGGTTTCTCTGCAGGTGAGATCTATTTTGTGATTTAGTCAACCTGTCAGCACTGTATGAGTTATACAGATATTAGGTGGTCACCATAAATTCTCCCTATATTTTGGTTGAACACTATCAGCACCTTGCTCTCCAAGTAGATTGTACCATTACCACAAGAGCATCATTAAGATTTTTTGTTATGTTTGATTGCTTCCAGCTATATGTCACTCATGCAGGTCACTGCCAGATCCAGGAAGGGTGTGGATAGGGATTGTGAGGAATAAGCATGTCGATAACTTCTCTAGTTTTATCAAAGTACCATGCAACATCATAATTTAGGATGCATTTTAGTGTTGCATAACTGCAGGAGGCCTGAAAAAGGCAGAATGGATAAGATGTATTTATTTTGTGCTTAAATAAATAAAAAGAGCCTGCTTGCCACATGAGCAGCAGAATTTTACCATATTTGAGTTACTGTTTACTTGCATTGCATACCATCTACTGATCTTTTGAGTTACTCTACTTGTGAAACTCAAATATAGTATTAACAGCTCTTACAGGCATTATAGTATTGTGCAGGGCTTCATTTTATTTTCATGATTGAGGTTTTTAGCCAAACAGTCTCACTCATTTATCAGTTATATTTGTTGATCACAGTGGCTGCCATTGTAGGCAGATGGGGCATTTCTTGTCCCCTGATAGCAAGAATGGTTATTATGGTTTCACTTAGTGTATTAGGCAGAAATTCACAGAGGAAATGGTGAATTCAGATCATGGGGGCCAGTTCTGGCTCAAGGCTTTGCAGAAGCCTTTCTTGATGCTATCACTGTGGTTTATTTTATTTTTTAATCAAAGTGGTCATATTCATGATCTAGGACCCAGTGCATTTTATGAGCCCCATTTGTCATTTGTTGTCTTTTCTGGTTATTTGATGGGATAATATAGTTATTGCATTATAGATTGGTGTACCTACAGTTAGGCCAACTCTTGTTAGCTGCCATCACATACCATGGTAGATGTGTTTTGATATGTAATGCATGACAATTTCTTGTGTGTAGAGTTTTAGGACTAATCATTATAATCTTCCATTATGTACACATACATATTGTATGAATTAGTAGGTTAATGCATTGTTGATTAAGATACCTGCAGTTCTCAGTATATTGCCATCAGGTCCCATAAGTGTGTATGTCCTCATAGTTATCATTGCAGCCAAGATATTATCAAAGTCAGTTTTGTTGCAGTTGTTCCCACTAAATACTGGGGTAGCCCACCCTTGACGAATCATGATGTTGATTGTTGATTTGGAACATGCCGATAGGACACCCCCAGTGTTGACTTGGAACACCCCCAATGCTGGCTGGGGGGGGGCCCAATGTTACTTGCCAGAATGTTCCAAAAATGATGTATGAAATACAGCACAAAACTTTTCTTCTGTGGGTATTATTTGATCACTATGACCATTACTCTGCTCAAATAAAGGACTACTTGATAACTGATGAAAAACAGTTGTCAAAATAGAGTTGTTTAAGTCCCATGGGAGACTATGCCACTGGACTGCAGGACCACCCCAGTCATTTGAAGAAGAAATGGTGCCATTGCTCATGGATGATTGAAGCCATTTAAGTATCAAATTTGAACTGACTTGTGTGAGTTCTATCTTGTCTTGCCAAAAATATCACTGATTCTTCAATTGGCTTCAATTTTACACAGATTCGGGTGGCTCATTTAATACTTACAATTACGTTCCACTTTTCTTGGAATGCATGTTGTGACTATTTGCGGTCTTGCAGATCATTGCTTGATATTGCCACATTTTTTTAAAGGCTGTGTGCTGATCTATACACAGGGGCCTGGATGTACAGATCAAGCAGGTCTGCTCATCTGCAAGGTGAAAAACTGAAGTTATGCAGATTAGTAAACCTGGACTTTTTTCTCCACTTTTTTGTGATGTAGCAGCAGCTGTCACTGCTGTGTTGGAAATGGCCGCACAGATGTGACACAGATGCCCATGGTTCTTGAATGATGTCACCACTGATCCTGAGAAATGATACCACAAGAATTTCACTTTCCTATAAACCCTCTTTTCAGAATTTGGCTTCCCTCTGGTATGTGGGCTGATGCCAGCCAGCATGTGTGACCTCTGACCTTGTCTGACTTCTACAGGCTGGCCTCTGGTATGTTGGTCAATACCCACCTGCCTGCATGACCTCTGACCTTGTCTGAGCTGTGCAGGTTGGATTCCAATGTGTTGATCAATGCCTGCCAGCTTGGGTGACCTCCAGCCTTGTCTGACCTGCACAGACAGGCCTCTGTGACTTCTGATGTCTGACTTGCAAGAACTGCATCCAGTATGTCGGCCAACACCCGCCGGCCAGTGTAAACTGTGACCTTGCCCGGCCTGCCCAGGCTGGCTTGTGTGACCTCTGACCTGCGTAGGCTGGCCTCCGGTATGTCGGCCGACGCCCGCCGACCTGTGTGATCTCTGACCTTGTCTGACCTGTGCAGGCTGGCCTCTGGTATGTCGGCCGACGTCCGTCGACCTGTGTGATCTCTGACCTTGTCTGACCTGTGCAGGCTGGCCTCTGGTATGTCGGCCGACGCCCGCCGACCTGCGTGATCTCTGACCTTGTCTGACCTGCGCAGGCTGGCCTCCGGTATGTCGGCCGACGCCCGCCGGGCCAGCCGGCCCTGTGGCCAGACGGCCCGGCCTGAGACCGTCACAGAGAAGTCCTTCATGGAGTCTGTCACCGGCATCATCAACGAGGTGCGTGCTGGCTGCTGAGCAGAGGCTCATGCTTCAGGGGCAGACCGAGACCCGGCCGCCGCGGCCCGTGTGCGGCTGTCTGCCGGTGGGAGACCCAGCCCGCCGCTCCCCGTGTGCGGCTGTCCGCGGGGGACCCGGCCACCGCTCCCCGTGTGCGGCTGTCCGCGGGAGGGGGGGGACCCGGCTGCCACTCCCCGTGTGCGGCTGTCCGCGGGAGGGGGGGACCCGGCTGCCACTCCCCGTGTGCGGCTGTCCGCGGGGGACCCGGCCACCGCTCCCCGTGTGCGGCTGTCCGCGGGAGGGGGGGACCCGCTGCCACTACCCCTTGTGACGGCTGTCCGCGGGAGGGGGGGACACGCTGCACTCCCCGTGTGCGGCTGTCCGCGGGAGGGGGGGACCCGGCTGCCACTCCCCGTGTGCGGCTGTCCGCGAGGGGGGGGGGGGGGCACCGCTGCCATTTCACCGTTTGTGCTGTCCGCGGTGGGGACACGGCCCCTGGCCAATCCCTCGTGTGCGGCCTGTCCGCGGGGGACCCGGCCGCCGCTCCCCGTGTGCGGCTGTCCGCGGGGGACCTGGCCGCCGCTCCCCGTGCGCGGCTGTGCGCGGGGGGATCCGGCCACCGCTTCCCGTGTGCGGCTGTCTGCGGGGGGAGGACACGGCTGCCACTCCCCGTGTGCGGCTGGCTGGTGGGCGTGGCGCAGCTGACACCACCCACCGCCCCTGCAGGTTGTGCCCACCAGCTACGCCCACCAGCAGCCGGGCGCTGACCACCGTGAGACGGTGCAGTGGGCCCGCTTCGAGCAGTGCGACATCAACGACATCTGCAACTACAGCGAGGCCATGGAGGCGAACGGCAACGTGGCGCCGCTGGTGCTGGTGATCGGCTACAGCACGGGTGTACAGGTGGGCGCGCTCGGCCTCCGACGGAGCCGTCTGGCGACGCTCTCCGGGCCGCCCACCGACACGCTCGCACCGACGTGTCGGTGGACGGGGGCGCTCGGCCGCCGACGGAGCCAACTGGCGACGCTCTCCGGGCCGCCCACCGACACGCTCGCACCGACGTGTCGGTGGGCGGGGAGCGTGTCGGTGGACGGGGGCGCGCTGGGTATGCCGCCCACGCACGGCTCTGTTAGCTCCATATCAAGTGTTTTCAACAGGATTCGTGTAAAGCTAATCTGACAGTACGGTGCTTTTGATGTGCTGGAGCTTGGAGCGAATGTGGCGAGGTGCTGGGCAACGACTAAGCTAAAGGGACATGTCCACGTACGATGTCCAAATTAAGCTGCACGTACGTGCTCAAACGTATCTGAGTTGAAATGTGACGCCCTTTTGTCAAAGGTCGCCATCCGAAGCTAAAAGGTGTCTTTGAAAGAGTAATATGTTGGCGTCTTCCCATGCTTGTGGAATGTGTTCATGGTTATCACTTATTGAAATGTTTACTTGGCACACATTATAATTCACATGCGTTCTGCACAATATCTGGTCAGTCATCTTGATCCCAAAATTGCTTTACGGGTAAACAATATGGTGGCTGAAAAGCTGATTTCGGTCAAAGGAGGCAGCGCGAAGCTATCTCTGCGACACCAAATCAGTCACATTCAGGCTGGCTGTGGCTTTGTGTGCCCTAAATTAGCGCCTTTACAGTTCTCGGCAGAAATCGTAATAGATCAGCGCGGCGAATTCGGACGTCTGCTGAGATGACAGCCGCAGTGCCTGTCATAATTGTTGTTCTGAAAACAACCTTTTGCTGAGCATATCACATTATCACATGCGGTACGTTTGGCTTTTGTCAAATACCTTCGAGCTGTTGAAAACTGATAGCAGACGGCGAATGCAGCTTGCGACAAATACCCTGGAGTTATTGAAATACCATTATTGCATAGTGCTGTTAGAACCAAGCTTTATGGAGCTGAAAATCGGTGCCGACTAGTTGCTGACGTCTTGCTGTTGATGTCGCGATGTTGGCGCGCGTTTGACGGTATAACAAGCGCTTCTTGGCCGCCACAATGGTTGATTCCGGTGGGCTTTTGGGACTGGCCCTAGAAGTGAGGTGCGACATCCCATTACATGTGCACAGGAATGGTGTGTTTATCTGGTTATAGTATGACGAAGTGAGAAGTTCGGAAAGTGGAATCTGGAATTCGGCCCGATCATTTTAAGACTTCCAGTCCTTGAAGCTATCAGTCATTCGGTAGCACGCTGGCTGTGGCCTGCCTGGCGGCGCGCTGGTGTGGGGTCGCAGCGAGAGGCCAGACCAGCCTGGGCCGCCTGTCGTCCTCCGGCGTGTCCTGTTAGCCGCCAGTGGCCCGTGCCGAGGTGGGCCCGCTGACGCCGCCGCGCGCCGCCCGCCGCCGCCAGGTGTGGCTGCTGCTGGGCAGCGGCGAGGCGCAGGAGGTGCTCTCGTGGCGTCAGGGCGTGGTGCGTGACGCCCGGCTGCTGCCATCGCCCGAGGCCGCCATGGAGGACGTCTACCGCCAGAAGCGGCCATTGATGGCCGTTTGTGACGCGGCCGGCACCGACACCCAGTTCTGCTCGGTCGGCCTCATCAGCCTGCGGACCGGCGAACAGGTCAGCTGGCCGGGCGCCAGCGGCGCACACTGGCCAATGGACAGTGTCGGAAGCTGCCAGCTTCTCTGGAGTCGGTGCCCTCTGCTGCGAGCAGACTCACGTCATCCTTGTCGATGGTCGTGCGTGTGTGCCGTCCCCTGTACGCTTTTATGCGGCTGTCGTGGCGTGCGCCGGTGATTTGTGTCCAGTTGGAACACCAGGGACCCCCGGCCGACTGAGCGAGTGTTGCGAAGTCGGGCGAAGTGGGGTGTGGCGCCGCCTATAATGCTGCTCGGTCAGCCCCACCCGACGCCGTGCGCCGCAGGTGAAGAGCGTCAAGTTCAAGTCGGCCATCAGCGCCGTGTTGGCCAGCCGGCGCGTCATGGTGGTCACGTTCCCCGGCAAGCTGGCTGTCTTCGACGCCGGCACGTTCGAAGATCGGTTCTCAGTCACCACCTGCTACCCAGCACCCGGCGTGCTCGACAACCCGGTGGCTCTCGGACACAGGTGAACCTGAAATGCCGAGACCTCTCCTATGGGGGGGGGGGGGGGGGGGGGG